GAGAACCTATGAGTTGTCTAATTGAAAAAGTCATCTTTGACACCTTCTGATTTCTAGCCACTAATCATTGTTTGATTAGTCTAATTAATCTAATCATTCACTAAGATTTTATAAAAATTTCTTCTAATTTTCCCTCAAATGCCTTCAAGTCTAGACTTTATTGATGTCCATCCTGGGTGTGTTAAATCACTTCCTGAAGGGCTATTTAATATCCTTCTACATCCCTCAGATTGCAGCTGCGTGATAATTCAAATTGCAAATACAATCTTAATTCTTCCTTATTTTTGAAACAGAGTCTCACTATGCAGCCCCAGGTGGCCTGGAACTTGCCATGTAGAACAAGACTGGTCTTAAATTTACAGGAACTGTCCCTACCTCTGTCTTCCCAGTAATGGGCTTTAATATATGACCAACCCACCTGGTCCCAATCTCAATTATTTTCCTATCTTGAAATGAAACATTGGCCTCTTACGAGAACAAAGTTGAAAGAATGAACACAAGTTGTGATACCTTGCAGGAGCTGGCTCAGCTCTTCAGCCTCTCCTTCCCTTGGTCTATGCACCGTGACCACACTAGTTAACTGCCTGACCCCTGTACCCGCCTGCATCTCCATGCCCATGACCCTCCACACCAGCGCCTTATCTCTATTGCCTCCACCCTGAAGCTCTGTGGACTTCCACTCAGACGTTGCTTCCTTCGAGGAGACCAGGACGGCTTGCTGTACACCTCAGAGTTTTCACAGCTGCTTTTGCAGAGTCTCTGTGACTGCGATCACGGAGTGGCATAGGCAGCTGTTAGAGACCCCCTCCCTAACAGAAACTGAAGCTCCGAGAGGGCACAAGACCACCCAGGTGTGTGGTTGCCTGGCCCTGTTCCCAGCACTTGGGAAAAGACCCATCCCCCCTCTTACCCTCCTCCCACTCCTGGAAACCTTCTCCTTCCCAACAGTCTCCCCACCTCCTCTCTAACTAACTCGGTTAATTAGAGGTAGTTACACACACATGGTTGTGAGTATTCTGCTGGATTATGGGCAGTTTACCAGTGGCTGCACCACTGAGGAACATGCCTTCTCCCCTAGCAACCATTAACTGACAATAGCCTCTCAGCCAGGAGCTAGGAGCTCATGAACGCAGTCTCCTATCATTGCGGGAATGTTGACGGATGTGTGTCATGAAGATCTCGTGCATGCCACCACAGCTATGAAGTTGAGTGCAATGACCATGTTCCAGACAGAAGACAGCATTCCACAGCACTCTTCCTCAGTATCCAGCGCTTACATCTTCCTGCAACCCTCTTTCAGGATGTTCTCAGAGCCCTCTGGAGGGGAGGGTAATATAGATATGCCATTTCGGAGCAAGTACTCACTTCATAGTATCACTTTTTCCAATTATAAGTTTCTGTATTAATCACCACTCGATGCAAAAAGAAAGTTCTTTGATCAGTACTTTGAGAAGAGCACTAACCCGTGGGTATAAACATAAACCTTTAGAAGGTAGTTTGATGCATCTGTTTAGTGAAATAACAGAAGTATTTCTGTTACACTACACTCTGTGACTTCTCTAGTCACAGGCTTTTGACCAGGTTTATAGTGCCAGGCCTGAGTTCCCTCCTGTGTTATGAGCCTCAAAGTCCAATCCAAAAGTGATTGGTTACCCCCATAATATTCATTCCACTGTTGCACCAGTGGACACATTTTTGTCTGGGAGATCAGTACTGGGCAATGCAGGGTCCACCAATGGGTAAGATTACTGATGACATTTTTTTCTCCAGTGGCCAGCGCTGCGTCTTCCAGCACTAAAAGTTAGTCAGTGGAGGGGAAGTTTTCAAAGTGGTTCCAGGTTGATTTATCTTACCTGCAACTACAGTGTACCATGTCTTCAGCAATAGGGTCAGACCATGTAGTGCTGGTTGGTAAACAAGAGCAATGGATAGCAACAACTTGTATCATTTCAGGAGCCTCTGGGTCCTCTCTGACCGGTGATGTACAGGGAGGTATCCCATGTCTGGAACTGGAATTTTTGTTTAATAACCGATGGTTTCTGGAAGCACTATTATCCATTCAGGATACCTCTGTTTAAATTCTCTTTTTGAAAATAATTATGTGTGGTGGCACATGCCTTAATGCCAACACTAGTGACTGAGCTGGGCAGGAAGAGGAAGTGATGTAGCTAGACAGAGAGCAAATCAGATGGTAGAACAGCAAGGCATATGTGCGTGGGTAGACAGGAAGTAGCTTGCCTTTGGAAGCTGCAGAGTTGGTAAGGTAAGGTTGGCTAGTGGCTTTCCCTATTTTCCTGATCTCTCTAAAGCTTTCCCCCTATAGTTGGCTTCATGTGTTTTATTTAATAAGACCATTTAGAAATTCATTTACAATTATATTTTAAAATTTGTTTACAAAGTAGCAGGTTTCCATAGAGCTTTTCATATGTCCCCAGTCTTGGTTATCCCTCTCTCTACCCCCTTTTCAATCCCATCGCCACATCTTCCCGCCAAATCCCCTCTCCCTTTCTCTATCCCCCCCACTGCCGCCCTCTTGCAGTAGTTTGAATGAGAATGGTCTCCATAGGCTCATATACTTAAACACTTGGTCCCCAGTTGGTGGCGCTGTTTGGGACCCATCAGGAGATGTGTACCAACGGAGGAGCTGTGTCACTGGGGGAGGACTTTGAGATGGTGAAGGCCTGAACCATTCCCAGGTAGCTCTCTGCCCTGTGTGTTGACCATGATGTAGCTCCCAGCCGCTGTTCCAGCTCTGTGCTGGCTTGTCTGCTGTCCGTGATAGTTGTGGACTCTGAAACTGTGAGCCCCAAATGAGATGCTTTAGTTTATAAGTTGTCTTGGTCATGGTATCTTATCACAGCAATGGAAAAGTAACTAAAGCACCCAACTTAACCCTTTAACCTCCAGTATCCCCGCCTCTACTTTTGTATCACGTGTGTTTTACTACCCCACCCCCACCTTCAATATTATATTATTATATCCCCCATGGGCCCTTTCTAATTTCCTGATTTCTGCAGACATACCAAATTAACACATAAATTTAAAATTTGAAACTAGTATCTACAATGAGGGAGGGGACCAGTTTCTTTCATTTGCCTGCAAATTTCATGTTTACTTTACAGCTGAACAAAATTCCGTTGGGCACACGCTCCACAATTTCATTATCCATTCATCAGTTTATAGACATCTGGACTGATTCCACTTCCTGACTATTGTGAACAGAGCAGCGATGAATATGTATACTCAAATGTATATGTCTATGCAAATATCTCTGTAGTAGGCTATGGATTCCTTTGTGTATATGCCCAAGAGTGAAAGAGCTGGATCACATGATAGTTTATTTTTAACTTTTTGAGAAATCTCTACACTGACTTCCATGGAGAATTTATACTCCCAATGGTTGATGAGGGTTCTCTTTCCCTCACATCCTCACCAACGTCTATTGTCATTTGTTTTCTTGATGGCAGCCATTCTGACTGGTGTGAGATAGAATCTCGGAGTCCTTTTAACTTGCACTTCCCCCAACGCAGCCAGACATGACTAACAACAGCCAATGCAAAGTCAGCAAAGCGCTGACCCTGCCATCGCCATGGGGTCCTATGTCCTGGCATTCTCCTTTGTGCCTACCACACGCCATTGACTTTTCTTTGTTCTGATGTGATAGTTTGTGTCTTCATCCTTTGAATTGAATACAAGTTCAGAAAAACTAGTAGTTCTCCTCCTTAGGACGCTGGGAGAATTAAATGATGCAGTGTGTGCCATGAACTTAGTATTGTGCCAGTTATTAGCTATTATCCGAGCCAAAATTTACTATTTTTATTCTTCGAGGAAAAAAAGAATAATAGATCACATTTGTATGTTTTTGGCAGTTTCATCACGTGTCCAGTTTGTTTCTTTTCTTCCTCTGAAGTAGAGAGAACACTAGACTCTGTTCCTCAACACAACAGGGTGTAGTAACACAGATGAACAGGAGGGGGCAGCATGCCGTTGGATTAAAACCTCAGCACATAGGACTAGACTAGACTAGTACCAGGGAAAAGTGAAAGTTCGCCCTTAAATGTAATGTCGTATTCTATGGGAGGGAGGTAGTGTGGGGAGTTACCCTGGAGGGTAGCTGCAGCATTGTCCCACACATGTCTGCCTTAAGGAGAGCAGAAGACCGTCCCCTCCAACGCCGCTCTCTGTGCCCCAGTTCTCACGGATACCCTTCGCGCTTCCGGTGAGCAGTTTTCATCCCTCGGGTGAGAGGCTCTGCTTTGGTAGCCTTCATTTGGAAGGGCTGCCTTAGAAAGGGCTTTAACAAAGTGTCTTGTTTCTGGGGCACCCAGGAGAGTCCCAGACCTAGGGTTTCCCTGCAACACCTGCTGAGCTTCTGTTGAAGTGTAACTGTCTGTATTCCCGAGCGCCTCGGGGCCAGGGACTCAGTTTATCGCAGTGTGTCCTCGTGAGGCTGGACTAAACGCCCCAAGGGCAGAAGCCGGGAAAAGAGGGAGTTATGACCATGTTGTTCTTCAACAGTGGGACTCTCCTGCTAGGACCTGTTAGTGAATTGGCTCTAGTGACGTTTTTCTTTTCTCGGTTTAAAATGTTCCTGTTTCCGAGCATTTGGCACATGAGTACCATATTTACATTTTCCCCACCTCCCTCACTTCCACCTCCAACTCCCTTGTTCCCACCTACACTCCCGAATTCGTGACCTCTTCTCCTATAATTATTGTTACATAAACACACACACAGCACCCAGAGGAGAGCGAGAGCAAGCAAGCAAGCCTACTGAGTCCATTTAGGGTTGCTTGTATGCACATGTGTTACGGGCTGACCACTGGGATTGGAGAACATCGGGGTCCCTGGAGAAAACGGATTCTTCCCCTCAAAGCAGCCGTTGACTGTTTAGGATTGTTATGTCTTCTTGGCTGTTTCCTTGATCAGAATGAAAAGATTTTATCTCTTCTGAGTAATTTTTGGTTTGAAGCCTTTTTTGTCAGGTAGTATGATAGTGACGCCCACTTTCCCCAGGTGCCATTTCTCGTCCTTTCCCTCTGAGTTAGTTCTTATCCTCGAAGGTCAAATGAACTTCTTGTAGATGACAAAATGATGGATTTTGTTTCTCAATCCAGCCAACAGACCTGTGCTTTTCGGTCGGGGAGTTGAGACCACTGATATTCAAAACTGTCTCTGAAAAGTGTGTGTTGAATGCTGTCACATTGTTGTTGTTGTTGTTTCTGTTTGTGTTCTTAGTTCTATTTTGTGTGTCAGCACTTACAGTTTCTTTTTCTTTCTGTGGCCTCTTGCTTGTACTTACTCATCTCTTTGACCCTCAGTTGGCGGCGCTGTCTGGGGAGGTTACGGAACCTTAGAGGAGCCTTGCTGGAGGAAGCGCACCATTGGGGGTTGCTTTGAGAGCCCATGGCCTTGCCTCACTTTCAGTTCGCTCTCTGGGCTTCCTGTTTGTGGGTGAGGATGGGCTTTCTCTCATCTTCTTGCTCTGGCCTCCTGATGCCATGCCTCCTCTGCCGTTAGGGACTCTTTCCCTCCAGAACTGTAAACCCAGAGCAAACTAAGTTGCTTTTGGTCATGGTGTTTTATCATAGCAACAGAACAGTAACTAATACAGTCTTCACCATTTCATTCAGCCTCACGCTTGTGTTTTCTCAGACTTTTCTCAGGATTTATTCCTCTTTTCTTTAAGTTCATTCAAGTAGTTCATGTCCTCTTTAAAGTTCTTGAATTATTTAATCGTGTTTATAATTTTTCTATTAAATTCTGTATCCTGGAGCTCATCAGATTTTTTTCACTGAAGAACAATTCTATAGGAGTAGGGGGTTTTTCAGGGGTAGTAGTGGTGAGGGACATACTGTCACGGTCTTTCATATTGTGTTTTGTGTGATATGACATGTGCAGAGAGGCTTACTTCATTGGCTATGTGTCTGAAATGACAATCTAGCTGCCTCTGTTGAGTGGAAGTTTTGCTGTGTCTCAGACTTGGTGCATTTCAGATGAGAAATGAAGGTTTGTAGGTCAGTCCTTTGGGTGTTCAGTGTTAATTTTTGATTGGAGATACGGAGCTGATTCCAATTCAGTGGTAACTGGGAAAGCCTGCAGATATGGCTCTGGACTTGGTCCAAGTATAGAAGGGCAGTGACTGATAGAGCAAGAAGGGGTAGTGTGGAGCAGACTCACCATGAGAGCAAGTGTGGGTGCAATCTGGGAGTGGGGGGATGCAGGCAAGGGTCTGGAATGACTATCGCAGGGTGTGTGCACAGAGGTTGGACTCCTAGTTGGGCCTGGGTATGGAGTTTTCAAGTGAAAAAGATCTAGGGAATTCACCCAATGCACATATAGTGACCCAACTAAGCATAAGGGGCAGTGTGGGAAGAGGTCTGGGTGTGGCAGGGTGGTGTGGATGGCATGGATGGGAGTTTGGAGCCATTACTCAGTCAGTACACATGTAGATGGTGGATGGGTCTGGGTCTGTTGTAATATTTTATCAAAAAAGTAGTTCAGGCTTATAATGGGGGGCAGGTGGCAAAAAGAACATCTGACAGGCTAATGATATCATTCACCAATATTAATAAGGGGGATATCAGATTCTTCCCACACTGCCCCAGGGCATAATACACAAAATGCAGGAGTCTGTGTGCATACCTATATATGGTGTGTACATTTACGGAATGTGGACCATTGTGGTAGCCTATTAATGATGATACTGTCTTTAGCTAACTACCCTCTTTTGGGGTGAAATTAAGTTGTTTCTGAATGTTTGCACTATTAAAGAGCTGTCTGGAGATTATCTCTGTAGCTGAGTCTTAGTCTACATATTTGAGAGTGCGTTAGGATAAATTCCCAGAGGAAGACTTTTTGGGTGATGGGTAATTCACACTGTCACCCATCGTGACAGTGCCCTGAGTCAGGTGACAAGTGTTAATTAGACATCACACCAGGAAGCCGTCATTTTGGCTCGGCACTGTCATCACTGCTCACAACACTCGGTGAACTCTGTGTTTGGTGATCCCAGCTGTGACTCACACAGGAAAATAAACCGTCATCTCTCATGCTGCCTTTGATCTTCGACTCTTCTGGGAAACCTAATTTACCACGAAAGCGACCGTGGAGGATGCTCATGCCAGCGTGTCAGCAGCTCCGGGGAGGAGAACGAAGCCTGGCACGGCCTGCAGTGCTGACAATCGGAGACATCGGAGACATGTTCACTGTCCCGGCGGCCAGCTCTTCGTGCGTATGTCCTGACGGGATTCTCAAAAAGGTGATGTCCCGGTTTTTTCCCACTTAAAAAGCGGGCTTCGAGACAGAGTGAGTAAACAGCCTCTGGCTGTGGCTTAATTTTTGCACGCAGGGCCGAGAGTGGCTCCTGGTGGGTGGAGCGGGGCTGGAGATGGCATCGTTTTTGCCTCTCCTTGTTTGCTTGCCTGGAGAGTGTTGGGGAAGAGCTGATTGGGTTTACTGAGGGAGGAGGCTAATCCCAACCCAGGCCAGGTCCTCGGTGCTGTCATTTATCTTACTGCATCCCGTAGACATCCTCAGGAGCTCCTGGGGATTTTACAAACAGAGCTTCAGGTTGTTCTTCAAGACCCTTTACCACATGACCTTAACCCCACTTTTCCAGCCTCACTAGAAACAGGGAGAATGTGGCTGGACCACATCGAGAAAGCAGCAGTCAGGGCAGGGGTACAGTGAGGCTCTGGGACCTCAGCAGGGCTCAGGGTCTTCCCTTTCACACTTCCTGCAACCTGCTGGCATGTCCTGTTGCATGCTGCCAGAGGGAAAAGCATGTCACAACTTTCCCGCACATCCCACCCAATACATCGGTGTCGGAAGATGCACTATCTGGCCCTGTGGAGCTAGGCAAGGAAGTGGCCACACTGGGCCTCGGTTTCCTCATTTGTAGACCAGGCTGATGCTGATGTTCCTTCCCAGGGCTGTTGGGATGACTGAATGGGAGGATGAACATATTTTTCACATTTTCTTTTTCCTTTTCTTTTTTTTTTTTGGTTTTTCGAGACAGGGTTTCTCTGTGTAGCTTTGCGCCTTTCCTGGATCTCGCTCTGTAGCCCAGGCTGGCCTCGAACTCACAAAGATCCGCCTGCCTCTGCCTCCCGAGTTGCTGGGATTAAAGGCGTGCGCCACCACCGCCCGGCTCACATTTTCATATCGTTCGTCTTGATGGATATTGTTACCGAGAAGAGCCTGGCACGTGTTAGGCACACTGTCGACAGGTAGCAGAACAGTCAAAAATGGTGGCTGAAGAGTGCATGCGGAGACTACATGGTGTGAACAGGTGAAGGCCATTGCCAAAGGAGTCTCTCAAGGCTGGGTTCACAGGTCTCGCGCTGTGACAAGGTACGCTGCCGTCTCCACGGAGGGTGGGGCGGAGATAGCCTCCTCAAGCCTTCCTCCCCACTCTATAATCTCCAGCCCGCATGCCCCGCTCCAAAGTTCAGTCCAAGCAAAAAGACCAAAGGGAAAGCAAGAGGAACACGAAAGCACAGGGCAGCCTGCCAGGTAACAAAGCCCGAGGCAGAGCGTGGAGGGGCAGGTTGGAGCCAGCGGACCCGCTAGCACAAATGCTGGTCGACAGGGTTGTAGCTGTCCTTGTAACAGCAAAGAGCCGTCAGTGGAGGATTGACAGGATCTTTGTTCCCGGCAAATGGAACAGCCCAGCACAGAGAAGAGCAGTGAGAGACCAAGCGGGTGATGTCCCAAGGTCACGCCGACCTTGAGGTAATCTTGATATGTTTCTCTCTCTGCCAATTCATCTTCCAAACTGGCTGGTAAAATCTCGTTTGTATCCTGAGTGCCAATGCTGGTCCAGACCATGTCACTGAGGGCTCTGCTGGGGTCTTAGCTGACGAAATCCCAAGAAGCATCAGGAATCAGCTCTTTGAGCAGCAGGAAAAACATCTGGGATCTCAGACAACCTGGAGTCACAGGGTGGTGCTTGCTGATGTGTTGAGTCCTTAGAGGAGGAGTAGCCCCTCCCCCTCCCGTGTGTGTGTGTGTGTGTGTGTGTGTGTGTGTGTGTGTGTGTGTGTGTGACAGAGACAGAGAGACAGAGAACACATGATAGTGTGAAGAAGTTAGAGCTAGAATCACCCACCACAAATAGAAATTACCATTACCATAAATAAAAGGAAATTCCTGGTCTGGAAGACTCCAATTTCTTTCTTTTTTTATTTATTCATGTGTATGCATGTAAGTGATGTGTGTGTGTGTGGGCATGTGAGTGCCATGGCATGGATGCATGTGTGGAGGTCAGAGGACCACTTGGTCAGAGAACAACTTGTGGGAACTGGTTTTCACCGGTTTTCACCTTCTACCCTGTGGGGCCAGAGAGCACCTTCCCCGCCCAGCACCTTTTCCCCCTGCTGGGCATCTCATGGGCCCCACACTCCGGGTTCTAGAGCAGCACGCTTATGACATAAACCCGTCCCTTGACTGCTGGCTGTCCCTGCAGGCCTGTCTCCCCACTATCTGTAAAAGTGAGTTTGAAATTCGATCGCGAATGTGTTGGCACAAGTTTAACAACACGCTCTTCAAAAACTCCATGTGTATGTATTTTCCCATCTGTATACACGTATAGTTTTCAGGTAAACCATACTGGCATAAAAGAACTGTACCACACAATTAAAAATAATAGGAAAATTTTATTTAATTATATAAGGCTACTATTTATTGTGAATTCCAAAAGTGAGCTGTAAATTCCAGTCGTGTCTGTTGACTGGTTCCCTGGGGGTGTCTGAACTGCTTTTCTGTAGGTCTGTTTTATCTGTAACCAACCTGTGGTGGAAACTGACAAACAAGTGTAGTGTTAAATGTTGGTTGATACCAGTAAAGCGAAGCAACTCGAACTTCAAGATGCTTGTCAGAATCTAACTAATGCACAGAAGTCACCGATGACCAGTGCATTCTTTGCTAAACTGGGTGATAGTATCTGAATACTGGGAAAATTTTTCCTTAATGTTTTTGTGTGTATATATATATATATATATATATATATATATATATATATATAATGTATTAGTTCTAAATCTGACATACTTAAAAAATCAACCAAATTATTTTTGCAATTAAACAATTAAAATATAATGACATAATGGTCCCCGTTCCTCTCCTCCCGCCAGTCCCCTCCATATCCCACTTTGTTCCCTCTCAAATTCATGGCCTCTTTTTTCATTATTATTGTTTCATATCTATGTGCATGAATAACATCAGCAGGACCTGCTGATTCTCGTCATTACTCCTTATATGTGTATGATTTCTGGACTGACTGCTCGGTATCGGAAAACCAGTTATGGGGCACCTCCCTGGGGAAAGGGAATTCTTCCTCTCTCAGCTGCCCTTAGTTCTTTGTGTAGAGGTGGGGCCCCGTGAGATTTCCCCCTTCCAGGCTAGCATGTCCATCGGTGGTGCCCTTGTTCAGGTGTTGTTTAGACAGCTATTCCGTGGAGGTACCACAGCTGCTCAGAACAGCTAGGAGACACACACACAGTCTCAAAGCAGACTTCCCGGTCCTAGGAGACACACACACAGTCTCAAAGCAGACTTCCGGGTCCTCTGGCTCTTACAGTCTTTCGGCCCCTTCATCCTTCATCAGCTGTTTTCTGAGTCTCAGGTGTGAGGGTTGTGTGGTTGTATTGTAGATATATCGGCTGGGGCTGGGCCCCCCACGGTCAGCTGTGCTTTCTGTAATGGTCTCTGTCTGAAGCGAAGAGGAGCTTCTTTGATGACAGCAGAGAGCTATGCTTGTTTGTGGATACGAGAATGCACATGTCAAATGCAGTTAGGACTTACACTGGCTGAGTAAATGGCAGTGGTAGGTTCTCCTCTATGATGCATCTCACCAGCCCCCAATAGCTGGCTAGGTTTCCACCTCTAGGCATCATTTTCATCCTGTTGATTGTGTCTTAATGCCAATTAAGTAGACATTGGCTACCACCAAGAGCCAAGTGCCCACATTGCCCCTTAGTGATATCTTGCCATGCTGGTCATTATGGTTCATGGGCATGACAGCGTGGAAGACTATTGATTGACAGCTTCCTTTCTTTGGCAGCCTGCATAGATCCTCCTGGTACTGTTAAAGCTGGTCCTCAGGAAAGAGGCTTTCAGGGAAATCTGACATACTTTTAAGTGAGTGCTACGTTACTAACATTTTCTTCGTCATTTTTTTGAAATTTAAATAGCATACCAAGATTAAAAAGTAAGAAATCAATCCCCATTTTGTGACATAAAATTAGAAATTAAGTCCTAATTTGTAGCTTTAGGCACATTTTCAGGCAGATAGCACCAAAGGAGGACCCAGTCCTGTGTTTAAACACCATTTTCGTGCTCGCAAGTTGTATGACTTTGGTCCAGGTACTTAGTCTCTCTGAGAGTCACTGTCTCCATTTATCACTGGGAAATTATCAAGCTCTTTTCAAAGTGTTTTATAAAGGTAAGGTATATCAGAGAGAAGAAAGGAACAAGGTCAGGGGATTGACTGGTGTGTGTTGGTGTGTGTTGAGCTGGGGAGATGCGGGAAGAAAGGAACACACCAGCCGAGCTCTCTGCTTTGGTCCCTTGGTGCGCTGGCCAAGCAGAGCCCCTCCTCTTCCTCCATTGTCAGCTGAAGCCACTGCACCCCAAGGGTGTGCACAAGCATGCCTTGTGCAGGGTGGTGGAAACTCTCCATTTTGAGATGCAGTCTGATGTCGCTGCACCAGGGACTGGAGTCGGAAAGAGGGTAGGCTTGGCTCTCTCGTCAGGAATTGACCAGTCCACAAGAACATTTCATCCCGGCTTTAAGGGAGACTGGAAATCACCCATTTACTGTGGAGTGAAACCTTCCACCAACTCATTGCTATTCTTTCTTACAAACTCCCTTGGAGGGAGTCCAGTGTCCCATCTCACCTGGAGGGATATTGAGACTAGCTTTCACCTCCTAGGGAAAGATGCACCCCTTGTTTCCCGTCCTCAAATGCTGCTTTGCCTGCCTCATCTGCTTATCTCCCTTACAGGGTTATTATAAAGTGTGTGAAAACGCCGGGTACACAGTGGTTACTAAGTGCTGTTCTCAGAGAAAATGGATGTGTCCCTGAGACCTTTCCCAGTTCACTTCTCTCTTTTTTCCTTTTCTCATTTTTAGTTAGCTCTTTAAAAATGTCAGTGTGTTCTGCTTGTATTCACATCCTCTTCCAACTCCTCCCAGATCCACCCCCTCTTCCTTTCATGCCCAACTTTATGTCCTCATTAAAAAACGAAAAACAAAAGACACCGACTCTAATTTGTGTTGTCTGAATGCGCTTGGGGGTGGGGCC